GCATGCGTCTATGGGAAACCAGAACTTAGATCATAAAAGTCTTCACAAAATGAGTGCAAAATTTCTTAGTAGTGTCTTATCTAAAACCTAATCTACCTTCCTAAAATCTACCACATAATCTAAACTAGTTAAAACATTTCCAATCACTAAAAAGAGACGTAGAGAGGCCGAGGTACAAATTTTCGAAGCCCATAATCCTATCAAGAAAGTTCACATCACTAATTAACCACTACATATCAGCATATTTCTCAGTAATGCAACTCCTGAAATTTAATGAGAGAAGCTCATGATCAATAGCTTCTTCAAGGATATAATCATTTTCAAATGCTTCATTTTGCTCACTTAAATCATACAGTTAACAATTCATTTTCCTTGAGCAACTTCGAGATTTCACTCTGAGATATAAGATAAGCTTCATGTAAATCTGACAATCTACCACACATTCTCCAATTCTATATTTAGCATTTTATCCTGCAATTTGTCAGCATTAATATCCTTCTGCAACTACTTATTTATCTTCATTATCCGTGATTTTTTCTTTGGAGGTTAAAAATTTCTTGATTTCTCAAAACAAATTCTTGCTCAAGCACTTTATTTTTGTGCTCTGAGCTCCACCAACATCAGTACAAGTTTCTCTAAAAGTGGGAAAGAAGATGGTTTCTCAAGTTGAAAATGATGGATTTCAACCTTGGTAACTAGAACAATAGCCTGCAGTTCTGCAATTTTATTTCAAATAATCTGCAAAATATTATCATAACAATCATTTGAAATCTCAGTCCTTGGAATCAAATGACTTACAAATCTTCTTAGTCGTATGTTTTCATCATCATACTTCCAAAAATTTTACATTACGGTCCGACAGTGTAATTAGCTTCCTCTCATGAGTGGCTCATTCCCGCTTGAGCTCAAAAAAGAAATTTTCTGCATGCTTCAATTTCTCCATGTACTTTCTGCAATCTTTTATGAAAAAAATTTCTTTTCAGTCAATTCAACCAAAAACTGCTTCATGATGAAGCTATCAATCACAATGTTTACTACTTTATAATGCTCCTCCTCAACCTCCAATTTTGTAACTTTGGATTTGTTTCAGGATTTGATTGCTCAAAACAATCAATTGATTACTGAAGAAACTGATATCATTTTCATCCTTTAGTTTTCCGTGTCATAATGGACAATGCAGTTCTTACATATCATGATTTCCTAGAACCATCTCGTTTATAATCTTATTGTTGACTTCTAAGACCACAAACTAATTATCTAGCCTTTGAAGATGCAGAGCAACTCTTTACACCTAAATTTCATCCTTTGTATTTTTTGACATAATTAATTCGAATGTCAACTTTGTCCTTCAAGAACTCTGTATTAGTTACATCCTGCGTTTCAGCCTCAACATTTTCATCTTCATAAATACCCATAGCAGAAGAAACCAAAGGTGCTTACAATGGTTTTCTTTCATTCTCAGACATTGCCTTGGTTTCATGTCTTTCCCATCTTCGTTTGTGGATTTTGAAAACACAGGTTCTTGAGATGGGAATGTCTAGGTAGAATCACTTTGCACAAGAGTTAGGTTTTGATCAACACCATCAGCTCAGCTTTGTAAGTTTATTTCTTTTCCCTCCTCTTTCACATCTTTCTCCTAATCGATCAATTTATCCTCGAAACGAGCTTGTGTACCATTTATTGAACTCTTACTCTTCTTCTCCTCAACCATTCGCATCTTCAACTTTCTCACCCTAAGATCACCACTAGCCCAATATCTTCCTCTTGTGTAGCAGTTGTCGTGATCCATCCATCTTTCCCTCGTGTAACGATGGTGGGAATCCCACCTTTCTTCCACCCTCCTTGAATGAGCCAATCCCCACGGCTCAGCTTACCCCCTCTTTCTCTAGTCGCCCACTCCCCTTGCTTAAAATGCCACTAATAGTGGTCGGCCACCTCCACCACAAAATTTTCTCATTATTGTCCCCCCATCTGAAAACCCTAATATGCCCCTTATCGGAGCCCTAGGAGGTGGCTCTTCAAAAAAAATTAAGAAAAATGAGGTGGCTCTTGATGAAAGAAACTCTCCTTGTCGAATCTCTCCTGTCCGATTGCCTTTCCTTTAGATTCAACCAAGGGAATCCCGTTTAAATATTGGTTAGGGTTAGCAATTAGAATTGTCGGTGGAGTTTTGGATTGCATCTCCAAGAGCTTCCACATCATCTCCTCCAACCCTCCAAATTGGCTCTCTATCCAATTATACATGGCAAAAAACCCTCCTTGGATGGTTGAGAACTCCACCATCAAGGATTTGATTTGCTCCACTTTGCCTTCCAACGCATCCACCTTCTTTGCGACATCTCTCCAAAATCTTGCTCTGATACCAATTTGATGTGTCTTTGAAGAAAAAAACAACAAAATAGAGAAGAATGTAGGAACACAAATATAAGGGCTGATTTTTTAATACTCCTTCAGCTAATAACAAAGGATACAATTGATCTAATATTTGAGAGATATATCCACTCTCCCACAAACCCTAGTCACCACAAGGAAACTCACACCAACAAAGCCCCTCCTTAAATAAACCTGACACCCAATTAAAACCTTCTTAAATTATTAAAACCATCCACAACTAAAACCTTCTTAAAATATAAAAACTTTCCACAAATAAAACCATCCACAATAAAAAAGCATTCCTAAAACTTTCCACAATTAAAACCCTCATAAATTAAAACCTTCCTAAACATCTCACCCTTGAGTCCTTACATAATTATTAAAACCTTCGGCATGCATCGTATCAGAGCTCCACTCAAATTACAAGTTAAAACAATGAAGTAATTTTCATTTACTCTCCCTTTTATCATTTAGTAAATAACGTAATTGTTTCTCTTCTTAAACTCACTAGTCCATCACCCTTTAAAAGATCAAGTAAATTAAGGAACTAAATGTACAACCATACATGCCAATATAAGTAACTCATAGGTATTAAACAAGTTCCTACCAAATGGCTCAACCAGAGAGGACACGCGGTCATAGTAATGCTCACCTAAAGGAAACCTCATCCTGAGGGTCAGGCACCAGCCCCAATCCATGAACAAGCAGGAGTTTGTCCCGGTGGAGCTCATGGCATATGGCTCGCATATGGAGTACTAGACCAAAAGATACGCTTGTTCTCAACTAGATTGTCCAAATAACTCATCCAAATAAACATTTGATCTAACAGGTACTCTCCTTTCCATAGTAGTTTCCCAAAACAAACGATATATGTATTCCATGTATATTTGGATTAAGCTACAAGAAGCACACACTTACAAAGCTTATGGTCATGCCTTCATTAGATGAATCCATCCCTACTTGGCCATTTTCGCACAAGGGACTTGTCATTTATTCCTATGGACTCAACACTCATCTCTACGAACTCACCTTCATAAACTTGCCCAAGATAATAACTTCGACAAACTCAATCACTAAGACTCGCACAAGGTATTGGCTAAGACTTGCCCCTGACACTCGTTAAAGGGCCACATCAGAGACAACATATTTGTCAGAGGCAAAGAGGCCATGTGTGCACCATCTAGTTTAGTACACCTGTCTATGTTTGTCCATATCTACAACATCATGTTTTTTTTTTTTTTAGGAGTAACTTTTCATGAAGCTCTCCTAGTCCTATATAAATAAGGGGAAATAAAACATTTTTTGATGCAACATTTTATTGCACCAGAAAAAATTCAAACCCACTCAATTTAATCCCAAACCAATACTCAATATGAATAATTAATATTGTAATATGATAAATTCTTTTAAAAAGAAAACATACGATTGTAAAACTCAACCACTTCAATTAAAAATAAGCAACAATCACCAATCACAAGCTCCACTAAAAACAATATGCATAATTCATCACTTCAAAGTGGAATGAGATCTGGAGAAGAAAATAATGCAGTGCAGAGAGGTCAACCTCCATATTAGGTGCAGTCACAAATATTTATCAATGTATATAAGAAAATACCTACAAGCCATACCAAACACAAATAAACCTAATTGGTGCTAGAAAACCACATGCTTTGACCATTTGAATGGTAAGAAGCCCAAAATTAACTGTCACTTGCTCAATTAGCTTTGTTTTTCCAATATTGTTAGCAGTAATGAGTACGGAAGAAAAAAAAAAACCCATGAACGGCGCTCTTAATAGCTGGTCATGGCAGCCGAGTTCCTAAACTTTTGTTCTGCAAATGGAGTCGAGCCAGTCTTTATCTTACAAAGGCAAATATTTTCCTAGTAAGCCTTAAGGATCAGGGCAGCCAGTAAGCTGGGTTAGATTCTCATCCATCAATTATATGCCAAATTTTGACAAATCTATTTCTTGCAATCATAAAATTATGTTCCCCACACAACTAGAAGCAGCATCATAGCAATGTGAAGGTAGAAACAAATAGAACACCATTCTCCATTACTCTCACCTCCCCTTTTTTTATCTTCTTACCACCAACCACATGGTAGAGAGGTATTGCCTTTAAACTCCAAAGTAGAGGTTTATGGTTTAAATATCATGAAAATAATATATATATATATATATATATCTTCACTTCTTTGATATTCCTATGCATTAATTTTCTTCTTCCTCCTTTCGTTTTACATTGTTGAAATTGTAGGTAGTAGGGCACCCATGTTTAAGCACTGGTATGGTATACACGGCAGGAGCCAGAAGCATAGATTGTGATGCCATCACTGGAAGCCTTATTGCAATTTCATTGAACAAGCTATTTGAAAAATAGACCCAATCACTAAAGTATCTCCACGAAATAAAAAATCTAGCATCACAAAGAACAATTATTGATGAATACGTTGAGTGCTTTACGTTGTTTACACTGTCGAACCAACAGACATTACTGAAAAATGTGAGAAGGTCAAATCTTAAAATCACCAAAAATAGTGCGAGACTTCCACTAAGACTAATTTATGAATGAAATACAATTTACTTAAATAAATTTAGTAAACTAAAAATTAGGATAAAGGTATACCTGGTGTTTTTCTTTCCATCTTGGAAAAAAGCTCTTTCCAAGTAGTGCAAACAAGTGATCTCTCATCTCGTCATTGGTAACAACCAAACATTTGCAGTTGACTGCTGCATACAACCAATACCTACACATATAGAAGATTTCAATAATCACAAATGATACATATCAAATTAACGGTTAAGGAAGTCCTATTCAAGTTACCGTTGGAAATCCTACACGCACACAAAGTCACGAAGGTGGAGAAGAAGTTAGTGGGCTGCTTACCCAACTTTGGGCCCACGAGGATGTAAAGAGGACCGTTAATAAGAGCTTAATTGGATCATCAAGTGCTAATCTCCTCCAAGTGATTAATTAGTATTTTAATAGAATTATTTTAACTATTCATGTATTATTTCTGCATTTTGAGAGTTTGAAGGGGCTTTATGTAAATTGTAACAAACTTACATATTTAAAGGCCATGTGAATGAAAATTGGATAGAATTTTGTTGATCAATTAAGTGAAATAGTTTGCAAGAGAATGTTCCTTGGTGTATGCTATTGGTTGATGATATTCTTCTTGTTGATAAGACTAGAGATGGAGTTGAAGGTAAACTCGAATTATGGAGGTCAACCTTAGAGTTTAAAAATTATCGTTTGAGTATATCTAATGGGGGGTTTGTGACTTTGAGTGATCAAGAAATTAATAAGTGTACTCATTTTAGATATCTTTGGTCTATTGTTCAGAGTGATGGTGAAATAAATGGGGATATTATTAGTAGAATTCAAGTTGGATGGTTGAAGTGGAGGGATGCTTCCGGTTTGTTGTGTGATAGAAAAATACCACTCAAACTTAAGAGAAAATTTTATAAGATGGTGGTGAGCCCTGCAATGCTTTATGGCACAGAAGGTTGGCCATTAAAAGAGAAGCATAAAATTAAGTTAAGTGTTGCTAAGATGAGGATGCTCAGGTGGATAAGTGGATTTATTCTTAGAGACAAAATACAAAATGAGCATATTAGTGAAAAAGTTGTAGTTCCAATGACAGATAAGATTAGAGACTGCCTTAGATGATTTAGTCATGTAAAATGGCGGTCTTCTGATGACCCTGTTAGGAGAGTGGATGCATTAAATTTGACCTATGTTAAGAAAGGTAGAGGTAGACCTAAAAAGACTTGATTAGAAAATATTAGAAATGACCTTTCTTTATTAGATTTAAATGAGAAGTGACTCTTAACAAGACACAATAGAAAAAAATGATTCTTGTAGCCGACCCCACGTATTGGGATAAAGGCTTGATATTGTTGTTGTTGTTGTTGTTGTTGTAATTAAGTTAAATAGTTTCTTAACTGCTGCCCCTTTGGGCCCCCTCTTGAAGTCTCCAAGAACCCCTCCTTCCTCTAGGTCTCAGCCAAGACCCTCTTTCCCCTCCATCTCTCAGCCGTAGGTTTTTTTCAGGGAGAATCCAAGATCCAGGCCTCCCAACTCTCCTGCCGTCCAGCCCAATCACCAGTCATCTTCCCTTCCTTTGACGCCTTCCATAGCATCCAAACAGCTGCAGTTCTCAGTCAGCCTGCCTTCCTGCACACTTCTGCCGCAAGAACAGCAGCACAGCTTTTGGGTTCTGCCCAGAACTCCTACCTGCCAAAACTTCAAGAATGGTAGCACCACTCCTCCATTATGCCCAGAATTCCTTCCAGAGGCTGTCTACAGCTTTCTTCTCAGCCCAGACCTTCAAGAACAGCAGCACCGCTCTTCTGTCCTGCCCAGAACTCCTTCCAGAGGCTGTCTACAGCCTTCAAGAACCCTTCCGTTTCTCAGATTTCTATAAAAAAACAGAATCCTAAAAACTCTATCAGCTCTCCATTATTTGCAAACCAGTTTTCAAGAACTATTCTGCTCTCAGGTAACCCGCATAAATACATGGAAATTTCAGTCCATATATCCTTGTTTCAAACCGAATTCCTGTTTTTGCCCTAAACTCCTAATTAATAACATTGTATCATTTTGGTATCAAAGCCTGCTTCTTTCCATTTCTGTTCAAGATCTTCTACTTCTTTCAATTTCTGTTTCAGATTTTTTTTTACCTTCTGTTTCAATTTCTGTTCAAGATTCATTTGCTTCTTTTAATTTCAACTTCAGATTCTTATTTCCAATTGTTTTTTAAGATTTCTTGTTTCAAGTATTTTTGTTTTAAATTTCCTGCTTTCCCCTTCTTTCTTTTCTACATGCCATGTACCATAATCATGAAGAATAATTGATTGATGAATCCCAGCAACCGGCTTTACCAAATCTTCAAGTCCAGGCCATTCTTGGAGAAGTTAGGCGGATAATGAGGGCGGAGTATGAGCAGATCGATGAAAATGGATAGATTGGAGTTGTAAAATCAAACGAACTCATCTATTCAACCTAGACCAATGCCGCAAAGGGTTAGGTGGGGTCATTTTGCTGATGAAGAGGAAGAAGAGGAGGAAGAATCAGAAAATTTACAGCAAAATAGAGAAAGGAGATGTGAATTTGAAAATCACGAAGCTAGAGTAAGGGATAATAAAAATATGGGAAATATCAAAATGAGAATCCCTTCTTTTCATGGTAGAGCCGATTCAGAAGCATATCTTGAATGAGAAAAAAAAGGTAGAATTGATCTTTAACTGCCACAATTATTCTAAATAAAAGAAGGTGAACATACCAGCCACAGAATTCTCAGATTATGCCTTAGTAGGTGAGATCAAGTGATGTTGAGTATAAAGAGGAATCAAGAGTGTCCTAATGAAACATAGCTTGAAAAGAAAACTATAATGGGGAAATGATTTGTTCCAAGTCATTTTTATATGAAATTATACAAAAGATTGCAGGGTATGAAACAAGGAAACCAAACTGTGGAAGAATACTTCCAAGAAATGCAAAAAGCGATGCTCAGAGCCAATGTGAAGGAAGATCCCAAGGCCACCATGCCCAGATTTTTACAACGGTTGAATCCGGGGATTCAAGAATGAGTGGAACTACAACATTATGTGAAAATTGAAGATTTGTTGTATATGGCCATAATGATAGAAAGGCAAATCAAAATAAAATAAAACTCCTGAGCAGCCTCCAACCCCAACCACCACTCTTGGAAACCCAGCTTTCCAAGAAAAGAAGATCGGCCACAACTACCTTTACACCTCAAGCCTCACTTTGAACATAAAGTGGAGAGCAGCAGTCCACACGATCCTAAAGGTAAAACTGAACCTTTTCTTCCTTGTAACCATGATATAAAATGTTTTAAATGTCAAGGCATGGGCCACATTGCTGGTCAATGTCCAAATAAATGTCTCATGGTAATGAGAGACGATGGGGAAGTAGAAACTATCGAAAAAGATGACCAAACAAAAGAAAATCCTTCTGTGCTGCTAGAAGGTGAGGGGAAATTCGTTGTCCAAGGAGATTTGTTGGTGGCAAAGAGAGCTCTTAATGTGCAAGCCAAAGAAACGGAGGAAACTCAATGAGAGAACATTTTTTATATAAGGTGCTTTGTCAAGGATAAGGTATTAATTATTAATGGTGGTAGTTGTACTAATGTAGTTAGCTCTACAATGGTGACAAACTTGGGTTGTCCACACTTAAACATCCTCAACCATATAAATTACAATGGTTAAATGATAGTACAAAAGTAGGTAAATAAGCAAATATTAGTTTCTTTTAAAATTGAAAAATATGAAGACGAAGTCTTATGTGATGTTGTTCCTATGCGAGCAGAACATATACTTCTAGGTCGTCCTTGGAAATTTGATAGATAAATTTCACATGATTTTTCTAATAAATATTCATTCATGCTTAACCAACGATCTATTACTCTTGTGTCATTAACTCCCCAATAAGTTGCTAAGGATTAATTGATGCTAAAAAAAGAACATGATAGCAAAAAGAGGGAATTCACTTCAGGTTTGAAACAAAAGCTAGAAGAACAATCATGCATTCTTGCCAGTAAAAATGAAAGCAAACTGATGAGGACATCGCCATTTTCGACGCCAGAGATCGACGGCCACGAGCATGACTTGTATTTTGTCATTTTATGTAGTAGCGTATTTTATTTTGATGTTCTTCCGTTTTTGCCCTTATGGGCCTTAGTCGCTTATGTAGCCCGGAAGGGCATTTGAGTCATTTCTTAATTTTTCATTTTGGCCTATTTATATGAGGCCTCATGCATTGTAATTTTAGTTTTGATGAATGAAAAATATTTGCCACGTATGATCTCTTTGTGAGTTCACCCTCTCTCTCAAATCTCTTAGTGAGTTTTGAGAAGAGCTAGATCTCTTTGTGAGTTCTAGACCTTCTTCCGATTTTCTTTATGATCAAGTAGTGTGAGAACGCAAGGAAATTTCGTCCGGATTATACTCATCCTGAGATTTTCTCCCCACAACCCAACTCACCCAGCAATCCCGCCTCCCACCCTGTTCTGCGGCTGGCTCCATTGGCCGCCAGTTTCTTTGGCCCTCCAGGCCTTTGGCCGCAACCTTGCAATCGTCCCAGCAGTCTGGTGATCTCCCCGTGCAGCCACCCTCTACCGCCTCCCAAACTCACAGCCAGCAGTCCAACCCGTGAGCCTCTTTTCCCTAGATTCCCGAAATTCCACCTGCAGCCTTCACCGCCCTTTCCCTCTGATTTCCCAATCCGTGGAATGTCAACAATTAATGCTAGATTAATTGCTTAATCCATCAGCCCTTTTTACAGCCAACAATTACTAGCAATTAATTCTATTTGAAATTCAAATCCCAATTTTCCCTCTCATGTCAATTCAATTTGGGAGGTTACTTAAGTCCCAATTAAATCTGAAAATCATAATTTCAGGGTTTGATTAGGATTTAATTACTCTACATTGGGCCCCACTTAATGAGAATTAACTTCCCTTTCCCCTCTATGCCTGGCCGAAACTCCTCCCTTGATTTTTTTTCTTTCTCTTTCACCTTAATTCCCCCTCCATTAAACCTCCTCAATCCTGTGAAACCGCTGGCCACCTCTTGGAAAATAATTTGAATTCTCCAATTATTTTCCCTCCTCTCTAAATTAGAATTCCAACTCATAATTCTAATTCTCCCAAAATTGGTTTTCCCCTGAACTGGGTTGCTGTCCAGGATTGGAAGCTTGTGGACCTGCTGACCAGAGCCCTCCACACGTTCAAATCTGCTGCTGCACTGAAGTTCTGCTTGCTGTTCCCTCATTCCAACAAAATATCTTGCTGTCCAGCACTCTGGAAGACCACACTTTGCTGTCCCAAGTTCCCAGCAGCCTAGAAGAACATTCCAACGTTTCTTGCACCTCAAAGGTTGCTGTCCAAGATCTGTCCAAGACCAAATTGCTGCTGTCCAGAGAAATTCTGCATCTCTTCCTGCTGTCCAGCCAGTTGGATCATCCTGGGATGACCGCCACCCTCCACCTCTGCGGCCACCTTTCCTAGAGCGACGATCTTAGGCTCCTTCTTCCTCGGGGTGACCTCGATTCTAATGTGGAGATTCTTCTTCCGCTAAAGCCTAAATTAATCGAGCATAAGGGCTCCAAAGGTGAAAGTTCTCTTTATTAAATTGTGGACTCTTGTTACCATCGTAGCTTTACAATTATTCTTTGTGTCTCTTGAATTGCTTGGTTGATTGATCT